ATGCAATTTCATGAAAATAAAATCCAGGTAGATTCTTGCTATATACTGTATTGTAAATGAAAAATTGTTTGCTGGATGCATTACAGCTAGCCGGAAATAATAAAATTCAATGAGTACTAAAAACATTTATGGTTTCGTTATTTGGATGGAGCTACAAACAATTGTTTAATGTTCTAAACAAGTGGAGTTAATGATGGCTTCCAAAAAAATAAAAACCCAAAATATCAGGCTAGAGGACATCAATTTATTACCACAAAAAATAATGGCTACATAGCTTAATTAATAATATTGTTTAAAAGTAGAGTAATCATCTAACAGTCATTAAAACTAAAAAGTAGGTGTGGTTGCATTAAAGTGACGTGGCACTGGCCATGGGTGTGCATATAGACAGCAGAAAAGGGGAATTAGCCTTTCAATTGAACCCCCAAATAATTTTCAGCAACCTGAAAAAAATGACTTTAATTTATCACTTGCATTAATTTAATTTATCATTTGCAGTACAGTGATGTTGCTGCAAGTAACATCACTTGATGTTATTTCATTTTTGATGTTATTTAGAGGAAAACACTTTTATATTTTAGCACACATTTTTGGGAATTTCAATTTCCGGTAATGGAGACTCTGCATTGCTTAAGTTGAGTTACTATAGCTTTCAAGTGCTACCAAGAAAAAGTATAAGTTTGTCAAGCCATACTTTAAACTAAAAACCTATCAGTCAACAAAGCTATTTCTCTTTTGTAAATGTACATGCAGTCGTGAATCAACAGCTCAAATAACATAGGCGGCAGCAGAATTGGAAGAACAGTTGGGTTAGAAAAATGGAGTGCAAAGAGTGCCACAATTTTGGCTACACCCATTTTTGCACATATTTTGGGCGTATACTCAACACACGCATGCATATAATATACCATAACTATGCGCCCAAAAGGCACCCATGTAAGTGTAAAGCTCTATGCAACCTTTAAAGTGATAGTCCTGGTCCTCTTGCCTCTTGGAAGGCTTGTTGACAAA